ACCCACTGCCGTGGAGTCCATTCTGACCCACAGCGCCCCTAGAGGACAGAGTGGAACTGCCCACAGGGTCTCCAAGGCTGTCAGTCTTTACATAAACAGACTGCCACATCTTTCTCCTGCGGGGTGGCTGGTGGGTTTGAACCACCTCTTGGGTAGCAGCCAGATGCTTTAACCACTGCGCCACCAGACCTCCTGTATGGCAACAGAACAACCAGAACATAATGAAAAAGAACGCTGACACAAGGTGAAAAATGTCACTAACATCACCGATTGATTTGTGCAGAAATTCTGAGACATGAACTTAACTTGTCGTGTAAAGTTTCATTGAAAACACAATAAAATATCATTTGGGATAAACAAACACTTAGCTTGCTGAGACATACACACAAACGAACCAGCAGAAGCCTAGTGACCAGGGGAGAAAGTGGAACTCTTACCTGTCGGCTACGTCTCAAAAAGTCCCAGAGCCAGCAGGCGGGCCCGAGGCTGGGGAGAGCAGGAGAGTTAGGACTGGAAGCTGCCAGCTGCAGACCTGCCGGGAAGACAGGCTGGGCTCCCACCCAGGCCACCTGATCTGGAGCCCTGGGCCCGGAACGCTCCCTGACCACGAAGGCGGGGGAGTGAGCTGCCCTCCGTTCCAGCTTCTTCCTCACCAGGGAAACGCCTTCCCTGACGGGACTAACCGGGCCGTCTCTGTTCTGCTCCTGTGTGTGTGTCACAGGGCACCCGGCCGGCCGCATTTCTATCTGTTCCCGGTGGGGAGGGCACCGCATGAGAGGGGTGTGTGCAGACCACCCGTCCCGTGGCACCTGTGAGGAGTGAGTCACTGCACATGGGGGCTGGTGCCCACGACTGAAACTGACCCTGCTCTGCTTCTCTATGTGAGTCAAGCTCCGTTCCAACCAACGCTTGTGTCTAAGTCCCGTCTTTCTTGGCAACCTCGGACCCTGGCTTGACAAGACCCATGGCACATTATGCCGGCTTACCTAGAGGCAGGTCCCCCAAAGGCAGTGGGGCTTGTGACACCAGCCAGCACTGCACGGGGCCCTGGACTCACTCATCTTAAGGCTCAAACAACCCTGGGGGTCAATGCTACCAATATCCTTGTCTTAAGATGGGGTGTCTGAGACACAGAGAGGACAAGCCCCAGGGTCACAACACAAGCAGCAGAGGTGGGGGGCGAATCCAATCTTTCCGGCCCCGACATCTCCCTGCCTCAACCCCAATGGGGCACGGCCCCCTCTTCGGCAAGAATCTACCCTGAGCAGGTTCTGAAAGCCTTCATGCAGTCCCCACCCCGCAATGCGAGCTCCTGCACTGGGGGAAGGGCAGCGGCCCCCACGACACATGGTCAGCACAGGCCTGGCCCACCTTATCTCCTCGGCGGGGCTGTGGTACTTCCATTCAAGGGGCTCGGAGAGCGGCAGCAGCAGGTCATCATGGTTCGAGAGGGCAAAATCCACCCTCACTCGGGGGTAGGAGTCCACTCGGCTAGCCTGATGACAGAGGGCCCATGCTAAACTCACTGCCACCCAGAGACCCTTGCAAGCTCCAGGGTCCACTGAGGAACAGAACTGCACAAGCTGCTGGCAAATGCAAATCAAAGCCACAGTGAGGCCTGGTGGTCAATAAAAAAACAGGTAATAACAAGCGTCGGCAAGGATGTGGAGAAACTGGAACCTCTGTACATGGCTTGTGAAAATGCAACACAGTGCAGCTGCCGTGGCCAATGGTTTTGTGCTAAACACAGAGTCACCACGTGACCCGGCATACCACCCTGGGTGCATGAAACCACATGTTCACACAAAACCTGTACATGAGTGTTCACGGCATGAGCCACAGGTGGAAAAACCCAAGTGTCTGTCAATAAGGTGAATGGACAACATGTTGCAGACTGCTGGATGGAATATTACTCGGCCATGAAAAGGAGCATGGTCTAGATATGTGTGACAACACGTATGAACCCTGGACACATTATACTGAGTGAAACAAGGTAGTCACGAAAGGACAGGTACTGCACGATTCTGTACACATCAAAGTCCAGACTAGGGAAGTCCGTAAGACAGAAGGTAGGTAGCTGGAGGTTTGAGGCTGGAGGAGGAGACTATGGCGACAGCTAACAGAGATGGAGTTTCTTCTTGAGGCAAGGAAACTGTTCTACGATTGACAGTGGTGATGGCTGTGCTGCTGTGAGTGTAAGGACAACCACTCGTGGACACCATAAATCGGTACATTGCAAATCATCTCTCAAAAGAGCTGTTAACGGACTGACACCGTGGTGGGCTGATGGGCTCTAGCACAGTGATGACTGTGGGGCTGGTGCAGGACCGGGCAGGGGTCGTTCTGCTGCAGCTGGGGCTGCTGTGAGCGGAGCCGATTCACCGGCACCCAGAAACAACAAAGCCACTGAAAAATTCCAAGCGTAGGACCCCACTCCCTTTTGAGCCTCACAATCAGCCCTGTCTGTGGGACTGCTGCTCTGTGGGGACCCCGTTTAACAGCCTATCTGTAGTCACGTCTGACAAAACGCAGAGCCCTTGGTTACAAGTGCCACTTCTGCAAGTCAGATACGGAATTGGCTTGGGTTCAGACTGGGGTGCTGGGTGCAGACTCACTCCCAGACCCCAACCCCCTGACCCGCTGTCCTGACAGCCCCTGGCTGCGTGTACAGCTGCCAGCCACACCACCCGCCCTCCACCTGGGGAGCCTTCCCTGCACCAACAGTGCTGGCTCTTTCGTCTGTTGTGTCCACACCCCGCCCCGCTCTGGGCTTCTTGGGGACAGGGATGACCTTTATTCATCCCGAACGCCCAGGGCTCAGGGCCTGGCTCTCAGCAGTGGCTCCAGGCAGCAGGGGAGCTGAGGACAGATGGAAGCCCTGGTGCCACGCCACCTCCCCACCCCCCATTCCCGTCCTGGGTCCTCACCTCCCGCGTCCCAGCCCTGCACCGGACTGGCCTTGGCAAAGCCCACCGCCAGCGGGTACATCGCCAGGCCTCAGGGGAGCTTTCCTACAGATGCTGAGCAGAACGTACCGCCAGATTCCGTGAGGAGATCTGTGCCCTGTGGCTCCGGACGTCCTCCAAGTCCAGGGTGGCCGTGAGGACTTCCTGGAGGATTCAAACAAACATGAGGAAAACCATGACTTCCTGTTTCTCCACTCCCACGTGTGATCCGACCACTTGGGTAGGTGTGCCAGCGGCACAGAGTCAGCCTGCTTCCAGAGCAAGGGCTGTGACCCTGGGGGCCTGGGGGCCCAGGGCCAGGACTGGCAGCGGAGTGGCCGACCTCAAGCCTTTCCCCTGCAGTGGCCACGAGGACCTCTGTTACACTCAGACGCTCGCCAGTAACCAGTTAGTCATGGCCAGTCAGAGTCCGGCAGGGGTGTCCAGAAAAGTATCTGTGGTGGTTAAATTTGTGTGTCAACTTGACTGGGCCTGGTTGAGTGGCTGCGAAGCTGGATGCAGTATTCCCCATGATGAGAGTGGCAATCAACTCCATGGTGGCATCTACCACAAGCAGCTGGGTAGCTGCCTTTGGGATGTGGTCTGCTTCCTGTATATAAGGAGAAGCCTTGGGAATGGACTCTAGCTTATGCCATGCTTGGACCCTGTGTGTCATTATTCAGCAGCCTGCCATGCTCTGCTAACATTATGGCCACCTTGGGACTTACAATGGACTTGAACTAATGGGCTGCTATGTGGTTTGGTAACATTGGGACTCTACCATTTTATCTGTTGACCTTGGGCTTGTTAGCCTCAGCAGCCAGTAGCTGCCTGAGTGAAGAGATGCCTCCAGCTTCAGTGGCCGGGAGCAGGAGGCAGAGCTGAAGCCCAAGGTCGAGGAGCTTTCACACCCCCCCTAGAGCATGGCACTTTGAATTTGGACTTAAAGCCTCCAAATTTTAAGAATAAACTCCTGTTTGTTCAAGCCACCCCATTTGTGGTGTATTCCTGTCAGGGTGGCACCAGGGAACCAGGACAGCATCCCTTCCTCTTAAGAAGAGACACGTCTCATGTCTCCGTGTGAAGATGGGATGACTGGTGCCGCTGCAACCATTCTGTGACCACGAGGCCAGGTGACCTGAGAAGGAGGCCAACCCAGAGAAAGGCCAGGCAGGAGAACAGCAGAGAGGTGGGGCCAGAGCCCCAGGGTCACCAGGGGTGACGATTCCTCACTGGAATGCAGCAAACATGCGGACTTCCACCACGTGCAACTTAACAGCAAAGAAAATAAAGAACAGAAAGATTCTAACCCCTAGGTATTATTCCTTATGAAAAAATGCTCAACTCAACTGTTACGGGCAGTCCCCAAATTCTGATCTGGTTCCGTTTCCAAGTCTGTCTTTATGTCGAGTTTGCACCTAACTCAGCAGTTAGGTACAGTCGTGTCTAATGTCAGGTAGTCACGTGTGTCTCACTGTACAGCATGTAGTTTACTCTTCTACACATTAAATATTAAACACTCCCAGAGGCACTCAAACATTAGCAATGTTTGGATGGACGTTGCAGAGCAGTACCGGTTTGTCATCAGAGATCACAGAATGTGCCTCCAGCTGTTGATGTCATAGGCTTTCCCGGGGCTGGGTCACAGCCGAGGCTGTACTCAGGATGGGCCTTTGTAAGCTGGGGAACTGCAGGTCCCAGGATATTGCTGCATGAAGCACAGAGCAAGACAGGGGGAGCTGCTTCTGTCGCCGCCCGGGGACGGGGACAGCTGCGGTCACCCCACCCTCCCTGGTCATGATTTCAAGACATGGGTGCCTTTGTTCACATGGGGCTAACTCAGGCTGGGACATGCTCACAGGACACGGAGGTCACATACCCTGGGGCTTCACTGTCACTTCCCAACATCATGGCCACCAAAACCATCACGCTAAAGACTCAAACAACAAGAAGCCACCGGAGGCTGCCAATCTTTACATGAGAAGGAGGTGCTGCTCCCACAGGAGCCGAGGGGAGACGTCCAACTCAGCAGAATACCTCCACGCACCAGGTTATGAAACACGCCCACCGCCCACCGGGCTAGGGAGCCCTGCTCACATGCTTAGGGAGCCCCATGAAAGGCCGCAGCAGACGCCTGGCCTGGAGCGGAGGAAGGAGAGGGGCAGATTCTGAAAGGACCCCGTGTCCCACAACATGCACCTCCTTAAGGGCAGCTCCCGGGGGAAGTGGCAGAATGGAGCCAGCTTTCCGCAACCCGTGCCCTCAAACTAACTAAGCTAAGCAGCGGTTAACACCAGCTCTCACTGAGGCACGCGCCTGCTGCCGGTGACTGGAGACCCCCTGCCGCCAGCATGTCACCCCGTGCCGGCTGCGCGTGGCTGGGCTGTGGAGGCTGGGCTGCTGGTGTGCCACACGCCAGCAGGGTCTCCCACGGGGGACAGGCTTCAGCAGAGCTTCCAGACTGAGACGGACTGGGCAGGAAGGCCCGGCGACCTACTTCCGCCAATCAGCCCATGAGGACACTGTGGATCCCACCATAGCGCTGTGGCAGAGCCGAAGACGGGCCCCCACGTGGGGAGGCCTCAGAATACGGTGGCCATGACAATGGGCTCGAGCCACGATCCTGAGGACGCAGGGCCGGGCAGTGTCTTGTTCTGCTGGACACGGGGCGTCGGGAGGCGGCACTGACTCCAACGTCCAATGTGGTTGGCGCCGGGGCAGGTCAGCCGACTGCCCCACACGGGGCCCCCAGCGGTGCTGCAGACAATGCCGACCACAGCCTCGTCAAGTGGGGACAAGCACGTTAGCACCAAGGCCCCACCCAAGGTGTCTGGGAGGATTCATTCCCGTGACACTCGCGTGCCCTGCTCTGGCTAAGCAGCCATGGCCACCACGGCCTCTGTGAATTAGCGCCGTCTGTGCGTGTTCCCGACAAAGCAAGTGCCAGAGGCAGCTGGACCCAGAGCCAAGATGGGCAAGGCTGCGGGAGATGCCACGGTGAAGCCCGCACTGCCCCCAAGCCGGGCATGCCGCTGTCCTCACGTGGCCTTCAGGCAGAGCAACAGGAGACTTTGGGCTGTGTGCACACTTGGGATTTACTTCCTTCGGGAGAATCTTCTTCTTTCTCTTTTTTGCTCATGAAAGCACAAGGAGCCCTGGCAGGGTGATCACTAAGAGCTCGGCTCCCAACCTCAGGGTGAGAGGTTCAAACCCACCAGTGGCTCCATGGCTCAAAAACTAGGCAGCTGCTCCCAGAGATTCCAGCCTGGGAAACCCCGTGAGGTAGTTCTACTCAGTCACATGGGGTGGCTCAGTCGGAATCGACTTGACGGCACCCAACACATTCAGAAGCCAAGTGTGCGTGGCTTTCTCTAAGGAGGCTGTGGGCCCAGTGGTTACAAGCCCCTGGCCATAAGCGGGCTGCTCAACCTGCCAGGAGGATTTGGTGGACTGTGGTCCTGGGCTTGGTCTCTGCCTTGTTCCCCTGCCCCTCGCAGAGCCCATGCGTCCTTGGCCTGCGATGGCGTCTCCCCGACAGCTCCCTGGACTGACTAGACCTGCCCCCACAGCGGCTGGGGTCAGTATGCCCCGTGCAATCCCCGGACCTCCAGAACACGGAGTCAGAGGCTTGGGATCCCTACCTCTGCCCCAGGACTAAGATGGCAGGACACTGGTCACAGGGGACAATGAGGACCAACAGGGATGGGCCACACACTGTTCCTGAACCCCACCCCCTGGCACATTACCACATCATCCAGGGAGAACTGGGAGCCCTGGGCGAAGATGCTGCCGTTCATTGCAATGGTGGCACAGCCGTCATAGTACAGGCGGTCCCCATCACAGCCCTTCTGATTGGCCAGCAGGTAGATGCCGCCACTCTGGAAAATAAGGTGCAGTGCTGGCATGACCGGCGGTACCCAGGCCACCACCTCCACCGGCCCACACCCACGCAACATGACCACAGTGGCTGTGTGACCGGCGGTGCCCAGGCCACCACCTCCACCGGCCCACAAGCACGTGACATGGCCTCGGTGGCTCAGTCAGCAGACTTTCTCTTGTCCCAAACCACCAGGTCACAGCAGCTCTCCCATCCAACAAGAAACATGCAGGCATACAGGAAAACAGAGCCTTTGTGTAGTGGCAGTCCATGGCCCTTCTGCAGTACCAGGCCACACACAGATGCCCACTTCCACCTCACAGCCACTCTCAGGTATCAGACAATCTATGACAGTCACAGACGGAACTGTGTCCCTTGAAATGCGTATTAGTGTCCTAACCCTGTCCCTTGAGGTGTGACTGCATATTCCGTGACCATTGTCTGTGACAATCTAGGACAGTCATGGACTGAACTGTTGCCCAAAATGCATGTTAGTGTCCTAACCCTGTCCCTGTGGACATGACTGTATGTCCCGTGATCACCCTCTGTGACAACTAGGACAGTCATGGACTGAACTGTGTCCCCCAAAATGCATGTTAGTGTCCTAACCCTGTCCCTGCAAACGTGACTGTATGTTCCGTGATCACCCTCTGTGGTAATACAGTTTGTGTGTCAACTTGGCTGGGCCTGGTTGAATGGCTGAGCAGCTGGATGTAGTATTCCTCACGATGAGATTGCCAATCAACTCCATGGTGGGATCTATCACAAGCAGCTGAGTAGCTCACTTTGGGATGTGGCCTGCTTTCTGTATATGAGGAGAAGCCTTGGGGAACGGTCTCTAGCTTATGGCACGCTTGGACACTGTATGTAGCCATGTCATCGTTCAGCAGCCTGCCATGTTCTGCCGACCTCAGGACTTTCAATGGATTTGAATTAATGGCCTGCCATAGGGTTTGGTAACATCGGGACTGTGCCTTTTTACTTGTCAACCTTGGGCTTGTCAGTCTCAGCAGCCAGCAGCTGTCTGAGTGAAGAAAAGCCTCTAGCTCCAGTGGGCCGGGAGCAGGAGGCAGAGCTGAAGCCCAAGGTTGAGGGGCTTTCACCCAGCCCCTAGAGCCTGGCACTTTGAACTGGGACTTAAAGCCTCCAAACTGTAAGAGAATAAACTCCTGTTTGTTAAGGCATCCCATTTGTGGTACATTCCTGTCAGAGTGGCACTAGGGAACCAGAACACACTCTGTGACAATTTGATGATGTTACTGAGGTCACACAAGACAGAGCGGCTCCTAAACATAATCCCTCTGAGTCAGAAAAGATGCAGACAAGGTGCGCGCACATCAGACACACAGACACACACAAAGACACATACACAGATGGACACACACAACACACAGACAGATGGACACACACAAAGACACACACAAAGACACATGCAGACAGACGTACAGAGACACACACAGACACACACAGAGGCAGGTGTACACAAAGACACATGCAGATGGATGGACGTACACAAAGACACACACAGACACATGCAGACACACACAGAGGCAGGTGTACACAAAGACACACGCAGACACACACAGACGGATGGACGTAAACAAAGACACACACAGACACACAGATGTACACAATGACACATACATAGACACACAGACGGATGTACAGGCACACATACAGAGACACGTACATACCCACAGACATACACAGGTATACAGACATGCATACCCAGAGATGTACACAGTATATACTCACAGACACATAGATGCACAGGCATACACATACTGACATATACAGACCCACAGACATACACACTAACATACATGTAGATAGAGAGAAGTACAGACATATAGACACACATACATGTAGACATATACACAGCCCACACAGACACACGTAGAGACCCAGACACACACACAGATGTATACACATACATACACAGAGAGACACACAGACACACACAGATGTACACAGACGTACACAGATTCACAGATATACACACAACCACACAGACATACATGCAACCACACACACATACGCACACAGATTACATACAGAAATTCACACAGAGACACACAGATGTACATGCATAAATGTACACAGACACACATACACAGACATACATGGAGACACAGAGATACACACAGAGACAGACACACACACAAAGGCAGACAGACACCATGTGTGGATCACCGACAAACTGAGGAAGCAGGGACGTGGCCCGTCTACAAGGAAGACCCTGAGGTGGTCAGACCCTGACTTGGACTGCCAGCCTCCAGAAGCGAGAGAAAATAAACTTCTGCTCTTTAAAGCCCCCCTCTCATGGTACTTTAAGAGACCAAGACAAGACTGAAAAGGCAAACCGATGCTTGTGAATTGGGGGCTGACGGACCCTGAGCGTATTCAGCGTCCAGGGACCACCAGAAGAACCTAGCGATCTGGGAAGAAGCCAGCCAGGACGCTCCTTCGAAGCGAGGATGGTGACACTGTCTCCTGAACGTTAGACCCGTTATCGGAGGGACCGTCCCTGGGGGAGGAGCTCACGCCGGGCAATGTCATTGAGAAAGAGGAAAACCCTCACTGAGACGGACCGACACCGCCTGCAACCACAGGCCCAGACACAAGGACTGTGGGGTGGTGCGGCACTGGGCAGGGTTTCATTCTGTTAGGTCTGGGTCACTATGAGCTGGAAGCGACTCCCTGGAACCTAACAACAACGAACCCAATCCTTAAGCACCAGCAGCCCTCAGCGCGTCTCCCACCTCAGAGAGAAAGCAGTCACACACCAACATCCCCACACTCGCATGACACCAGCGGACAAGAGGTGCATCCTGGCTCTCAGCCACCATGGCGCCCACCCCATGACACAGCGGGTGGTTGAGGGCCCCGGCCCAGGCTCCTGTCGGGGATGATGAGAGCCCCCATCTCCTGGGTGGCTGGGAGGATTAAGAGCGGTCAGAAGGGCAGCCCCAGGGGCTCGCTGGTGCCTGCCTGCTGACCATCAGTGATCTCAATCTCCCGGTGCTGCTGTGACAGACAGAACCCTGGGGGCTTTAATGAACAGAGATGTATTTTCTGACAGTTCTGGAGGCTACACGTCCAAACTCAGGGCACTGGCTGTAGGCACAGGTGCTCCGTGCGCGCCGGAAGGTCCCCGGCTCTTTGCTGCTTCTACTCCTTTCCTTGGCCTATCTGTGGAGTATGCACCTTCCTGTTGGTGCTTCCTTGCCTCTCTGCCTACCCTACCCTCTACACCTCCCAAGGGATGGTTTGGGACACACCCTGCCCTGACACAGCCGAACACAACAAAGAGAACGCTTCTCAGATGGGACTGCATCCACAGGCAGGTGTGTTAGGACCCAGCACATACGCTGGGACACAGCTCACACCTGCAGCACCAGTCAGTCTCTACCAAGCCTGGAACCTGGGCACTGAGCTGTGGGATGGACGCAGGGCCCGCCCCGTGGTGCATATCCCGGCCGCCCACCTACCTTGGCGGTGGCCATGGACACCAGATCCACCCTGGTGTGAGCTTTGCGTAGCACGTGGTGGCTGCCCGAGGCATTGGTGAAGATCTCCACGCCGTCCAGGCCCATGTCGATGTGTGGGCTGTAAGCAGAGGCGAGGAAGAGGAGGGACAGTGATGCCTCCTCAGGTCCCCAGGGCCACCACCCACAGTGTCCAGGGCGAGGTCAGGGTGGCTGGCAGGAAGGAGGGGCCGACCTGTGGGGTGTCCAGAGCTCCTCGCAGATCTCAGTCCCGATGCAGGTGTCCCGAGTGGCCAGCACAGCGTCCCCAAAGGGGACAGCCTCCTGCAGGGGGGGAAGGTGCATCTCTGACCAGTGCACACGAGACCCTTGCTCAGTGTCTCAGACACCAGCCCCGATGGGACACCCCTCCCCAGCCCACTCCACAGCCCGCCCCGAGAGCTGCAGCGTCTGTCCAGAGGGGTCCAGGGAACCCAGACGGGGCGTGGTCTCAGCAGGTGATGTCAGCAACCAGAGGGCCAGCAGAGGCACACGTCTGCTTCTGTGGTTTGTTCAGTCACTCGTTCACTTTGCCGGTGCTCACCCCGCACCATGCTGGTCCCTGAAGACAAGGGACAGTAAACATCATGGCCCTGGCCTCAGGGGATTTCAGTCTAGCAAAGGAGTCAGATGCCGAGATGTAACGAATGTAAGTGAACTATAGGGTGTCAGAGGTGGGTGTGAGCCAGAGAGAAACACAGCAGGACAGGGAGTCCTGGGTGGAGCAGACGGTGCACGTGCTCAGCTGCCAACTGAAGGGAAGGGAGTCCACGCAGAGGCCCTTTGGCACAAAGGCCGGTGACGTGCGTCCAAACCCTCAGCTCCCGGAAGCCGTCTGGGGTGCAGCTCTGCTCCGACACACGCCAGGAGCCGCGAGTCGGAGGTGACTCCACAGCAACCGTGTAGGAGCAGGAGGCTGGACGGTGATGTCAGTGTGTGATCAGGGAGGCCTCTCAGCAGGCAACGTCAGAGCAGAGTCCAAGGGAAACGCGAGCGAAGGGAGTTATCACAACTGTCCTCCTGGGCTCCACCCGGAAGCCCAGACCTGCTGGCTGTGTTCGCCAGGTTTGACCGTGGGTTCGCACACATTCCGAGTGGATGTTCAGACTTTCGGGCTGTGTTTGGCAGAGGTGGATCCCAACAGGAAGAGGCAACCCTGAGAACTCCTCATGCGGAAGGAGAGAAAGCCCATGTTCTGAGCAGCCGAGGCCGGAGCGCTCCAGACACCGACGGACCAGAACGTTCTAGGTGCTGACAGGGCTGGGGCACTCCAGACACTGATGGACTGAGATGCTTCAGACGCCGACAGCCTGGAACGTTCCAGATGCCGTCAGGCTGGGACACTCCAGATACCGACGGACCGGAACATTATAGGTGCTGACAGGGCTGGGGCACTCCAGACACTGATGGACTGAGATGCTTCAGACGCCGACAGCCTGGAACGTTCCAGATGCCGTCAGGCTGGGACACTCCAGATGCCAGTATCTAGATACTGATGGCCAGAACACTCTAGACGCTGACAGGGCTGCCTGCCCAGGACAATGACCTCTGAAGCTGTGTCTCCTGTGTTCACACGATGGCACCTGCCGCCCAGCCCCACACAGACCCTCACCTCCCTGCCCACCACAGTCAATGGCGACAAAGACAGGCCCCTCCCCGAGAACCTGAATTGGGGTTGTGACATTCTGATCTCCATCCAGAGAACTTTAACCACAAGCAGCGTGAGCCCCGGTGGCAGACGGCCATTTCCACAGCACAGGGGGTAAGCGGTAGAGAGAGCTGGTCCCATGGAAGGAAGGAGACAGGGCGGCATCCATGGGGAAGAAGCCGTGAAGGAAGACAGAGGAGGCGTCTGCCAGGCCCAGCTGCATTTCTCAGGAACTGCCCTCCTTGGTTTGACTGTCACACAGGCTAGCTCTCGTGGTGGAGGAAAACTGAAGTCGTCAAAGGTTTCATTCCACTTGGGTCAACAGCCAATGTCCGTGGAGGCCGTAGTCAGGAAATCAAAGGACACATTACAGCAAATCTGCTGCAACAGCCCTCTAAAATTCTGAAAGCAAAGACATCACCTTGAGGACTAAGTTGGGCCTGACCCAAGCCTCAGGCTTTTCAATCATCTCACACGCATGGGAAAGCTGGACAATGAATAAGGAAGAGTGAAGCGCTGATCCACTCGGACTGTGGTAATGATGAAGGGCAGTGCATCCCTGCGGACGGCCAGAAGGGTCCACAAAGCCGCCTCAGAGAGACCACCGGCATGCTCCCAGAAGCTGGTGGTGAGCCTTCAGCTCACTGCCTTGGGTCACGTCATCAGGAAACACCAGCCGCTAGAAAAGACTTCGTGTCTGGCAGGGTGAGGGTCAGCGGGAACAGGGGACACCCTCCATGAGACGGACTGACGCCAGCCTCCAGGATGGACTCCAACACACCAGGCAACGTGAAGACGTCCCAGGACAGCAAGTGTTTCCTCCTGTTGCACCTGAGGCCATCACACCAGCTCGGCAGCTCCACCGCCAGCAGCCACCACGGTTTCTGATCCA